GATTTTGAACTAACTTGCTCTTCTTTTCACATCTTTGCTTCTTTCATGATTATCTATCTATCTATCTATCTATCTATCTATCTATCTATCTATCTATCTATCTATCTAACATCATCTATCCACATCTATTCCAGAAATATTCATATAGGATTGCAACAAATTAGCCAAGTTTCTAGATGAAAGATTAAGAAATTGGCCAGTCTAAGTATAACTGGGCAACCATTTATCCAGAATGGTATAGGTTTCTAAGCATAATATATAATACTCCATAAATCTGTAATAAAGATGCAATAAATATTTATTGTCATACTCTATCCTTCAAAAAAAAAAAAATAGAAGGATACTGAATTCCTCAAGGACAAATTTTGCTTCTATGAATTCAACAAAACTGCCAGGATAAATATTCTTGTAGAATTGTTATAGGAATATATAAGAAGTAAAGTATGTTCATGGATGCACTGCTAAGACTTGAAGGGCCAGATTGGTGAGAGATCATTCTGGAGAAGATCTATTTGTATGTTTACTAAGAGTAAGTACTAACTTAATTGCATATACTCAATCAGCAGAAAAACTAGCTGCAGTTTTGTAGAACTATTTAAGAATCTTAATGCTGCCTGGAACAATATTAGAATAGACAAGAGGCCAATTATCTCTTCAGTCTAAGCCCAGATTTATAAATCCATGCTTTGATATAGTAAGAATTATGTTCCTAACAAATGATATTTAAATATTAGGAAAAATATATGGCTGTAAGTCACCTTACTGACATTCACTGTGACTTGATTATTTGCTGTAACATCAGAACTGAACAGTTTAGCTGCTTATATGTAGGAAATAATCAATTTTCAAGTTAGTGGCCTGAAAGGCAGGCTATATATAATATACTAAGATATCGCTCTTAAAATTTTGTTGCAAGTCTTCCTACTGGGTGTGAACTGTGTTATTGTTAAAGCTTCGAAAGCTGGTGTTAAAAAGCTCTGGCAGAGTCTGGCACTGCATATTCTGACATAGAAGAATATTAACTGTTGTGAAGCCAGTTCACTCATAAATATAATGCTAAGATAGTGTTCTGACCCAACCCTGTTACCAGCAAGAAAATCTCAAACAAACTCAGCAATTCAAACCTTCACAGCTTTAATCTACAAGTAAACTTCTTTGTCGATAAAAGATGGCTTGCAGCCAATTAGTCCAACCAGAAAAGCCTTGACAGAATTCTTCAGATAAGCCAGAGTCTCTACACACAATGCTGGGTCCTTAGAATGTTTTTGCCTTCTGCAGAGGCAAAAACCTTTTGAAACCAGGCTTATATTCCCTGGAGGGAGGGGCCATTATGTTGCATCCTTACTCCCAAGTCACTTGTGCTGCTCCAGCTGTTCTCTTCTATGAATCATCCTGCGCTCACATGCACTTGGCACAGGCTCCTCCAGAACCTCCTCATCACTGCTGCCAGCCTCCACAATCCCTGAAGGCAGCAGTCCACTCCCTGATGATCCCGGCCCCTCATCCAAGTCCTCACTCTCCTCCACCATCCGCACCTGCTGCCGGCTAACCACAACAGATAGTTATTCCTTGGCATTAAAAACACTACATTTTTACAAGCCAAATAAAATGGCCATTTCGTAGAAGAGATAGAGTTTAATAACAAACTACCAATGACATTATATGTCTAACATCCAATTCTTTCTCATACACATATAAAAATCTAAAAACCTTCCCCACCATAGTTTCAAACACAAAACACATGCAAATACAAATATCACTGATTGCTTTTCAGCAATAAATAGTTCATTTTATCCTGAGCTAAATTAAAGCCAAAAAATAATAATAATCACATTACACTTAAGAATTACTGAATTTGTTCCAGTTTTCTGTGTTCTTGAAAAATAATAGCTTCCCTGAATTCTGTTTGAACATTGTCATTTGGCCCCATTAATTTGATTATCTGAGAAAAATGTCAGCTTGCTTCATATCTAATTGCTAAACAGTTAGAAGAGCATTCACAATCTGACTACACTGCTGTTGCTAGAATTCTAGTTTTCATTCTCACAAGACATTTTTCTCTTTAATTCTTTATTGGTTTTATTTATTAATAATGGTTCTATGCTATCTTTTCTCCAAAGCTGTGAATAGTAAGCAAAGTCCTGGAAAACAATAACAAAAGCCTTTTAAAATGTGAGAACCATCTAAAGCAATTTAAAAGGTCAAGCTCAATAAATTGATTCCTGGTTCCTTTTTTGAAAGCCTAGAGAGTGGGGACAAATATTACTTTGATGGAAGAACATCGTAGCCTAAGAGCAATACTAAATATATCCATTCCTCATGAACCAATTCATGTTTGGTTTTCTTTCCTATTTTTAAAACTTGTTTACACCACCCCATTTTCTCTAGGAGAAAGCTTTGGGTTTTGCCTTAAGTCTATCCAAAAACAATTATCACTTGCATGAGATGCATAAGCTGTTAACAGAATTATGAATATATGCTGTATTAACACAGCAAATGCACATGCACACACAGAGAGACATTGCATACACACAATTTGTGAGATTTTAAACAATGCAAAATACAGGATTTTTATTGTTGGTGGTCATTTCACAAACCAGAGGCTAGGTAATAGCCCCAACATTTTCCCTAAGAGAAGCTGATTGTTTTGTTTTAAAGAAAGGTTCTTTTCAAGCCATATGGAATCAAATATTTAAGTTCAACCACAATCATCAACAGTTGAAGTGTACTTCCACTGGATAATATAGTTACCTTTAAAATAATATTCCAATGCCTGTATCTGTGTGTATGTCCGTTTGTGCATCCATCTAATTATCCATCTATCCTCTTTCTGTCTATCCTATAGGGTACCTGTCTGTACCCTATTACGTGATGTACCTTATTATTCTTGACTCTTGATGAATGTATCTTTCCTTTTATGTACACTGAGAGCATATGCACCAAGACAAATTTCTTGTGTGTCCAATCACACTTGGCCAATAAAGAATTCTGTCTGTCTGTCTGTCTATCAATCAATCAATCAATGAACTGGCCTGCTTGCCAGAATAGAAAATAAAGAGTACTGCTGGCTACATTATGGCCACAACAAGTGAAAAATGAACAAGTATTGAGACCTGATCTTCTGGATGCAATCGGTAATTCTGTAATAGTTAGAGGAGATCTGGAATACAGATGGAATTGGAGTCTTTTTCAGGTATGGCACAGATCTTTATTACTGCAGCACATGGTCTGATAAGCCAACAATTGGCCAGAAGTAAACAATAGCAATATCACTTAGACTCATATACTGCTTCATGGTGCTTTAAAGCCCTCTCTAAGTGGTTTACAGAGTCAGCATATTGCCCACAACAATCTGGGTCCTCATTTTACTGACCTTGGAAGGATGGAAGGCTGAGTCAACCTTGAGCCAGTCAGGATCAAACTTCTGGCAGTGCCAGAATAGGCCTGCAATACTGTATTCTAACCACTGTACCAGCACAGCTCTTACTGCACGACCATGGCTCTACATTTCAACTAACCAGAGACTGTAAGAAGAAGACAGTTCAGTGGAAAACTGTGTTAATCTATCCTTTTTATCACATTAGTGGAAAAGATTTTAAAGCTATTCTTTCTTGGGCCCAATAAACTCAGATTTCTTTAGCCAAAGCATTTCATGAACAACATTATTGTTGTTATCCTTGCTAGGCTGCCAAATCACGATCAAAGCAGGTTTGCAAAGAGATAACTTCCCAAAATGAAAATGAAAAGCCTGATCTTTATAATCAACTAATCAGAGCAAATTATACACGAGAATATGACTTGGACAGGGACAGAGGTTACTAGTAGGAAAAAACAGTGAAAAACAAATAATTCAATGCTCCAATCAACCCTTTTTCAAAAAGTGTTTGCAATAGCTGTCTTGCATATCTTCAGCTTTTCATATATAATCATAACATATTTCTCCCTCTCCCCATTCTGCCCCCCCCCTCTATATATCTATGTATGTGCATATATATATTATGCAAATACTTCTGTCAATAGAGGGTAACACATCCTGCATTTGATGAAATATTATCAGCCCTTAAATGCTCATATTATAGTAACCCTGAATGTTTAAGCTGTCATAAGCCTGTTTTTTGTTTTTTTTGCTTTTGATTAATATAGCTACCTCCCAAGTGGCAAAGAATGAAAAGGAGCTGTGCTTCAGCATACTTTGTTATACAGATATATTACTTCTAAAACCAAGTGCCATTCTTCATTATCATTAATATTTGCAGAGAAAACTCTTAGCTTCGGCAAATTTACCTAACAGTTTTTAAAGGGGCTTTACACTAATGCCCATTTCTATATCCTCATAATAAATATTGTGGTTAAATTGCACATCAGTGTTTAACTTCTACCAGTTTAATTTAATTAATAGAACTTTAAAAATGATCTGTATCAATAGTATACTCACAGTGTCCATTTTATTCTTGTCTACCAGTTATGGGCTACCTCTGGCCTTTCAAATATTATTAGCATCAACTGTAAGATGAACGGTTAATATCCAGGATAATGGAAAATGTATTCTGTCAACTTCCAGAGAACTACCAGATGCTCATTCTTGAGAGTTTTTATCACGTTCATCTTACATTCAAAAAATTAGGCTAAATTCAATGTCCATTTCATGGACTTTTTAAAACATACTTTCAATCATAATAGCATAATTTTGGAGTATGCTGGAGATGGAGTTGAAATTAAAACTTACAATATTCACAATGTAAATGTAGATGAATAAATAATTAAACTATTATATAATGAGTTACTTAGTTTATATTTAAATGTACAGCATATTTCCTTATTGTGATACTTGAAGCTTTATACTACCATACTAGATCTAATCAGACAGAAGCAAAACTCCACCAATAAGTATACTTTTCAGATCATGGTGATTGATCATTATAATGAGAATAACTATCTGCAATTAGATATGTAAGTATTCATAGTCTTCTTCATAGAAATTAGAAAGAAAAAACACTTACTTCCAATATCAGGTCGCAGCTTTTTATCATATTCTTTCAGTAACTTGTTTAACAACAGTGTCACATCACTATCATGAGCTTTTGGAGACATTACCCATTTTTGGTTTGTTGTAAAATCATCAAAGTCATCCTCTTCCACCTTTCTTGAACTGCAATTTAAAATAATTTAAAATCATGTAAATTACACGCCATACACAAATAAAAGCTGAGAAAGCTAAGAAAATCCTTCATGCGAATGTGTTTTTTATTATTAGGTTAAAAACAAGTTAGTTTGTCATACCCATGCCTATTCTGGAAGGCTGAAGGCTAAAAGAGCACTCTATTAAAAATAATTGCATATGTTTACATCAATATTTGTCCACCAGATCACAGATTTAGGAATAAATAAATGTCATTTAAACAAATTATACGTGATGCCTCCATTTACATTTTTGAAGTTGTAGCACACAGGGACAATAGAGCAGTCTAGAAAACTTCGAATACAGCATTTTATCTGCAAATATTATAATATAAAACATTCAAATGCAAAATCTTGTCATTTTAGTCCCATTTTAAATTATTTTATATCTTCTATGCAAAGAAGCCTTGGCAAGAAATTTGGGGATAAAGCTCTTGTAACTGACTAAAACTCCCAGCCTTCTTAACTTAGCAAATTCAGCTTTCTTCCAGAATCATGAAGTGTAGGCCTACAGTGTATGCACTCAAATTAGATTGGCTTTTTTCAAAACTTTATATTTTTTTTAGCAATATAAATTTTCAACTGGAGCACTAGGTACTGAAAAACTGAATTGACACCAGAAATTTTGAAGTGCCAAGTTTGATTCTACCACTTCCACAACTTTCAGAAAGCAGGAAGACATAAAGAATATTTTGATACAAAACCATTCCATTATGCAGCTGGGGAGGGATCATATGCATTAATGTGGATGTTTGCAAGTTCAGTCGGTATTTTAGTTCAAAGAATCTGGTAGTTGAATAAGAGAGGAAATTCTCATTTTGGTTAAAATCCTAGAAGGAAAGCTTGTAGGTCTTGCATTGTTGTTGGACTGGGATTACTTATTCTTGACTACTCCACGGTATTCAAGTTTAGCAACATTTAGAGCAGGGGTGTCAAACTCACAGCGTCACATGACATATCTGTGTTACGTGACATATTTTCCCCCTTCACTAAACTGGGCATGTGTGTGTCCAGCATGTGACACATTTGGCCCACAGGCCGGGAGTTTTGACAGCTCTGATTTAGAGTATTACATGTCACGCATAATTGGAGTAGAAAAGCTGGTTTGGAATAAGGTAGCTTCCCATGCTTTTTTGAAAGTATAAGCAATCTGATTTATATTTCAGAAAGATGGGTTATATTTTATAAAAAGGAGAAATAAAGCCAAACATTCCCAGAATGACTATTTATGAGTAGAATGAACAACTTCTGGCTTCATTTATGCACACCACCATAAAAGCCTGGTCTTGTTACTGTGATTTTTTTCCCTTAATTTCATCCTTTTTGCCTACCTCTCCACAAGTTAATTTTTTTTTCATATTTTGCCATTTCTCATTGCATCTGAGAGTTTGCTACAGCTTAATTTAATTTATACAAGCACCAGCAAGCAACCAAATATGAGTGCCGCCTAAGTTAAATTACTTATTCTGAGAGCTGTATTAGTACTAAGTTAAATGAGTGCATCTTCAATATTTGAACTAAAATAAAAGTCGAAGGAAGCTGTAATTTGTTTCTCATGGCACTTAGTGGGTCACTCCAGTGGTGGCATTCAATTTTTTTTTACTACCGGTTCTGTGGGCATGGCTTGGTGGGTGGGGCAGGGCTTGGTGGGCATGGCAGGGGAAGGTCACTGCAAAATCCCATTCCCTCTCCACCCCACTAACCTGCTTTCCATCTCCATTCTCCTGTGCAGGGCAACAAAAGAAGACCCAGCTGATCAGCTGGGACTCCAATCAGCTGGAACTTGGGAGGCAGTGAATAGATGGGGGCGGGGCCAACCAGAGGTGGTACTTATCGGTTCTCCAAACTACTCAAAATTTCTGCTACCAGTTCTCCAGAACTGGTCAGAACCTGCTGAATACCACTCCTAACTCTTCCTATGCCTGTTTCATTTCAAATGCTGACATCCATGATTTGTCAAGACACATTAGCTGAATTATTTTTCTTGCTGGAATGACTTATTAGAGGATACAAGATAAATTCAATTTGTATTCAGATGGAGCCATTCCAATTCTACTTCAATAAGTTTGGGTTCTGAGCAGTTCTGGCAAAGCAGTATCTTAAGCCTACTTTGGCCCAGAAAATCCTTACTTGCATTCAGTATCAAACTTTGAAGCTGTTCTGACCCAAACCCTTTTCCAATAAAACAAACACAAACCAAAGGGAACAGAAACCTTTTAATGATTCTTACGAATCCCCAGTTAAAAGGCTGCTGCAAACTAATTAACTTTGATAAGCATGAGCCTCGCCAAAACTGTGCGAGACTGCCAAGAATAACAGATAAGGTTACCTAGAAATATTTTACAACACAAGAGTCTTCAAATACCAACTTAAGATACTGGAATGTCCACGAGGCTCGAGTGTCAAAACGTCTTTGCTTCCTGCAAAGAACGTCTGATTCACAGCTGGCTTTTATCTTCTTGAAAGAGGGGCCATTACCTTGCAGCCTTACTCTCGAGTCACCCATGCTGCTGCAGCTGCTCTTTCCTGTGAGCAGCCCTGCGTGCACACGCACTTGGCACAGGCTCCTCGGGAACCTCCTCATCGCTGCTGCCAGCCCCACAATCTCTGAAGGCAGCAGTCCACTCCCTAATGGTCCTGGCACCTCATCTGAGTCCTCACTCTTCTCAGCCTTCCGCACCTGCTGCCAGCTAACCACAACAGAAGCACTCAAAATAAGTCAGGGGAAAAGCTGCAGCAGCTGCAATATCTTTGTGCTTTCATCACAAAGAATGATGAAAACAAAACTATGACATCCTACCACACTCTCTGATCATTTTGAGTGTTCGTGCAACATCAATTTGATTCTTCCTCTGCAGATGCCAAAAGGGATGGATCCTAATAGAATAGATACAGGTGACAATAAAACATGCTATTTAAAGGGGGGAAAATCTTCAAGTTCAGGTAAGATTGTGTAGTCTAAAATCTAACATTTCTTAAGTACAGGTGGTCCTCAACTTATGACCACAATTGAGCCCAAAATTTATACTAAATTTTAAAATAAATTTGCTAAGTGTTTTTTGCCCTGTTTTATGATTCCTTGCCACATTTGTTAAGTGAATCACTGCAGTCATTCAATTACTTGCACTGTTGTGAACTGAATTTAGCTTTCCTATCAACTTTACTTGCCAGAAAGTCACAAAAGGTGATCATATGACCCCAGGACACTCCAACAGTCGCAAATATGAACCAGTTGTCAAACATCTGAATGTAAATCACATGACCATGGGGATGTGCAATGGTCATAAGTGTGAAAACTGGCCATAAGTCAACTTTTTTCAGTGCCATTGTAACTTTGAACAGTCACTAAATGAATTGTTGTAAGTCAAGGACTATCTGTACTAGATTCCTGAAGTTTAAGTTCCATCCTGGTTTTCTTGTGATAGATTTATCTTCAAGAAGTCAAGGCTCGATCCACAACCAAATATTTATTCTATGCTGTAGAAACAACAATTCTGAATTTTTTTTTATAACTTGGGTCAGTTGAAGGGCTGGTTTTGATTCAAAAAGAGAAAACAATGTATTTAGAAGTTACTGAGCAACCAATTATCCCTACACTTTCTATTACTTGATTGAAATTTTAGTGACATTCAAAACTGGAAAAAAAAATCCATGTTGGATCTTTTTAAAAGCCCAGCAACAAAGAGGAAGAGCAACTAAGGAAGGAAATTTCTTGGCTATAAAAACCAACAATGTATGCTGCTGAGCCTTAAATTCTGTAATTGCTGCATATCATTCATGCATGTTTTCTGTGAGTCTAGATATCATTCCCTGACTGGACTATGGGAGCTTCCTTTGAAGATGGCACAGATGCTCAAGTAGAATGGAATGTGGCACTCAGATGATTAGTCAGGGTAACTGTCAATGTATTGGCTAATAGTGTGATTGTAGACTGAGTGTAATGTTTTAAAGAGTTGGTCACTAGATTGTTGTTTTTCCCTGTTGCACACCAGCCGGAGTCTTTTTGATTGGAGCTGTCTAAATATTGTAAACAACTAACTAATAGATAAAAATGAAGTAGCTGTGCATGCAGTATATGTTATGAGGAGATATTATAACGTAACCAAAACAAAAACACTGTGCTGTGTTTTGTCTTTTCTATTTGATAGGTTGTGATAAGAAAAAAAAGCAATATGTGAAAGTACATCACGTATTCTAACTGGGAGAAAGGGGGGGGGGTATGAAAAAACGGCTACAATGTCTGGGTGCTTTTCCCGTAAAACTTAAAAAAGGAGAAAAACTACAGAGTAATAACATCCTAAATAATTAAAAATAAATGCACATCCTTCATCCTTTCTATTTCTATCTTTCTATCTGTTCTTATCCACTCAGGGTCAAATGTTCCTTCGGCTCTTTCTGCACTGTGAATATTAAGTCTTTAAAATCACCACAATGCACTGAAATTGGCAGTTGAAATGACTGCTGTAAATTATGCATGGAGGAGGGGAATATAACAGTATATCTGCATTCATGACAAATATTTCAGGTTTTCTTTAATGGCTGTGAACTGTTGCCAGATTTTATATGTGGGTGGATGGGGAAGAGAATGAATTAACTCAACTTTCATTTTCATCATTGGTTTTAGGAGGAAAGAAAAAAACATACTTCAATTTGTATCTTGAGCTGTAATCAAGACACCCTCTAATTGAATTGAGATGACTTTAAGATCTACAACTCCCGTCACTCCCTAATTGTCCTATCTGGGGACCATGGGAATTGGAATCCAAAGCATTTGGAAGACCACTGACTCTCCACCCAGGCTTAAAGAAGGTTAATTTAATTCAATTAATAGGAAAATTAAGAGTTGCTATAGAATTTTAAAGATCAAAACATGTGCAGACTGTCGTTATTTTCACTTTCTCAGAGCACTGTTATGTTTTACAGGTTTTCCTATGGTGTGAATTCACTTTTATGTGCTTTATCATTTGGCTAAGAATTTGCTTTCTGTGAAAATAAATTGCTATTATGCAAATGATGGAGTGGTTAATTTGCACCAGTGATCTAGAAACATACTAAAACTTCTTCCCACCAAAACCACCTAAGATTTTCCCAACAAAACCCATTTCTGCTCTTGCTCACAACATTTATCATAATGTTGTGCTATGGTTCTACTTGTGTGTGCTGTCTCCAGGGGTGGGATTCTACAGGTTCACACCTATTCGCTAGAACAGATTGTTAACATTCTAAGCAGTTCAGAGAACCGGTTGTTAGAAGAAATTACTGACCTAATCTTGTAAGGAAGGCAGGAAGGAAACATTTCTGCTGTTGCTTACAGAAACTGCCTCTCCGTTAACCCTTATTACGTTCTTGGCAGGACTAGACTTCCTGTCTCAGGAACTTCTCTGGAGTTTTTTTTCCCTCCTTTGCCGGTACTTTGCTTGTGTGGAGTGACCATTCAAAGTTACAATGGCACTGAAAAAAGTGACTTATGCCCATTTTTCACACTTATGACTGTTGCAGCATCCCCACACTCATGAGAGGCCAGACAAGGAGATGCGTGCCTCGATGTGAGTGATATTGAGTTGGCCATGCCCAGACAGTGACATTACCACCAAGCCATACCCACCAACTAAGCCATGCCCACAGAACCGGTTGTTAAAATAATTGAATCCCACCCCTGGCTGTCTCCATTTACTTTTCAGCATCTTTTGTTTTGTTGAGAAAGTCTTCAGGTAGTTTTGGTGGGAAGAAGTTTTGATATGTTTCCAGATCTCTGGTGCAAATGAACCATGCTTCCATATTTTTTTTTTACAGAAACCAAATTCTTAGCCAAATAATAAACTACATAAAAATAATTTCACACACAAAATCTGTAAACCATTCACAAAATTCACAAAATCTGTAAACCACAACAGTGCTTTTTCCTTACCCCAAAACTGAAGGATTTTCAGATTTAGGATGAGTTTTAATCTGGGGAAATTTACTATGCGCAACATAAGAAAGAATGCTAATAAAATGTGTCATGCAGTTTTGTCTCTTGTCTGTTATGATACTTGCATGCAATAGAATAAGTGGAGAAATGCTTTTACCATCCATACAACATGAGAGAAGAAATGAAACATGTTTGAACAATGTAGCACAAGGGTTTACCAATTATGAACACATTTTTAATGTGTTTGAATTTTTTAAAAATTGATACCATACCCTGCTACCCTGTTTTTCTGTGAGTTCGTTGTTTTGTTTTATGCAGGATTATCAGGGAAAGTAACCCTAGTATAAACCAAGAAAACTTTGTACTTATTTCAAAAAATGGACATAATTATATGATTCATAGTGATCCCTAATCAAACTGCAGACTTTAGACACAACTAATACATGTTGCTTGCAAGATGCTGACTCAAAAGGCTGATCATTAACTATCACTACTCATTACAAATTAATTTCTCATCAGGATTCCAAAGCCATCAGATAAGAGAATCGGTCTTCCATGATCCGGTAATTAATTAAGGAAGAGAAACCAAGCAACCAGTTGAATGGTGTGAAGAATCTCTCTTAAGCATCTGTATTACAAATGAACCAATTATTATTTCATTTGTGACAAAATCAGAAGACAGTGATATGAAGAATGTCTATGGTCATGCATTCTAGTAAGTCTTAATGTGGCTTGCTGGAAACTAACCAAGCAGAGAAGGACTCTAGAGTTCAGGAGAAAATTAGAGAGCAACTAACCAATGGAGTAGTTTGCCTTCAGAAGTTGTGGGTGCTCTTTTACTGGAGGATTCCACACAGAGACTGGACAACCATTTGTCTGAAATGATATAGGGTCTCCTGCTTGAGCAGGAGGTTGGACTAGAGTATCTCCAAGGTCCCTTCCAATTCTATTATTCTATGTTCTATCTTCTATGAGTATGTTGGCCAAATCAAGTCTAGATTACTACAAAATCAGTATTTATGTTCTAGACTGTCATTTGAACCCAGTCAACCCAAGCTTAGCCCATCTTAGCAGCATCTCTAAACCAGAATTAAAGGACTTATCTGGGCCAACAAAATTAGATTTGATGTAATGCAAAAGGGTTTTAAATTTTGGGAAGAAGCCCCTGTGGTGATAATCAGACAGGACTGCAACATAAAAAGATCATGGGGCTGGGATAGTAAGCTGCAAATCTCAATTCATTGTGCAGTGGGGATACAAAAGAAACATTTGTCTCCAAAATTATTGGGAAGGAGTTGGAAATAAAAAGGTTAGTCACTTCCTCTGTTCATACAAATATGTGGTTTCACTGCATCTGGGTGATCATGTAAAGCTCTAATCATCCCATCACATGGGACAAAGTAGAAAAGGTATAGAAAAGAGCAAATCGAACAGAAGGTGGAATATTGTGGAAGATGTTTTTAAGGGCTTTTCAGTCAAGAAGAGGATGGCAGTGTAAACATAAACAGAATATGTGGCAAGTCCATACAGAGGACAATTTGTGTTTATTCTAGTACTCAAGAATATTCATTAAACAGTGTAGATTCCATTGCCAGAGAATGTGGGAACAATATCCACTGTCTTAGATGACTTGGACGTTAGATCATCTCATAAACTTGGTCAAATACTTTGCCATGCTCTAACAAGGAAGGGGCAATTTTGTTTTGGTCGCCACGATGTAGAAAAGATGTTGAGACTTTAGAAGGAGTACAGAGAAAAGCAACAAAGATGATTAGGAGACTGGAGGCTAAAACATACTGTATAAAGAACAGTTGCAGGAATTGGGTATGTCTAGTTTAATGAAAAGAAGGACTAGGGGTAATGTGACAGCAGCGTTCCAAGATCTCAGGGGTTGCCACAAAGAGAGGGGGTGAAGATATTCTCCAAAGTATTTGAAGGCAGAACAAGAAGCAATGGGTGGAAACTAATCAAGGAGAGAAGCAACCTAGAACTAAGGAGTAATTGTTCTGACAGTTAAAACAATTAATCAGTGGAATAATTTGCCTCCAGAAGTTGTGGATGCTCCAACACACAGTGGGTTTTTAAAGAAGAGATTGGATAACAATTGTCTGAAATGGTATATGAGGTTGGACTAGAAGGTCTCCAAGTCTGTTATTCTGTTATCTGATGTCATTTTCACAGAACTCATCAACAGTAATTTAGGTCTAAAGTTGCAAACATGCCCCCCAAAAGTTTGAATGAATATGAATGCATATGCATACTTTTCTTTAATGCTTGCGTTTTCTCCATCGTTTTCCCTAATACATAAATTTTTGCATACTTGCTGTTTCTCCTAATGTACTTCATTTGCAGGGTTGCTATCATAAATCATACTGTACTCTTGGAAAATTGCGGTTTCTTACTATACTTGTGTTCCAAATTTCCACACATACATCACCAAATGATTTTATTTTGAAACTCAAATGCATCAAATTTCACACCCATTTCTATTTTGTAATGAAAGCTACATGTTTGGCAAAAACTCAATTTCCAACTGATAGGAAGATAAAAAATAAGAATAATAAGAAAAGTAGTCTTGTCTGTAAACAAACAAAAAAACAAACAAACAGAGCATTTGATAGACAAAAGTGTTATTTGTCTGGTCCATCAGAGCCCTGATATAAGAGGGCTGGGAACATTTAAACTTCAGGTGTTAATTCACTGCAGTTGGGTTGGGTTGATGTATGTATTTATCATACAAATATGACTCCAGACCTGTTAGGAACCAGAAAAGTGGGAACAGGAGAGAAGATGGATTCTTGAATGCACTACCAAGCTGAAGCATCCCGAAAACTGTTTCCTAGCTGCAACAATCAGTTTTAAAGCTAGCATTAATAGTCCAGGATTTGAGCATTGCCACATCTTAGCCATGAAAACACCTACATGGCGTCACTTCTTATCCCCAAAGACTTGTTAAGAATATGGAACTAGAGGTTAGGCAAGGAACTTAGCTATTTGAGTAGCCTCAAAAAGCAGCCCACACAATCTGCAGTAAGAGGTCTTCAGGTGAACTTCTCCATTATTTCTCCACTTTGCGCTTGCAAAAAAATCAATTAAGAAATGCATCTTGAACCAGATTCTTCTCTTAGGAATGCACAACTCTTCCTCCAATAGAAAATACCAAAATCTGGAGATGTGCATCATGCATCCTTTCTAGTTTGGAGTTGCTACATTTGCTTTCTGTGGAAAGTTGGTAAATTTAGATACACGGAGAACCCAGCAATAACTACAGAGGAGAAAAGGAAGAGTTAAAAGAATGGCCCTCGCCCCATTTAGGTAAACTGCTGCTGAAAATGATGATTGAATAGGTTGCTTGACACCTTGTTCCAATATCTGCCACAGAATATTAAGAAAGAACTTTTGGATGGAAAATCTGCTGTAATGGTTTCCAGAGGAATAAACTGTGATAATCTTTTGCAGCAACCATCCTCCTGCCATGTTTATTCCGAGAATTAGATCTGCCAATCGCTTCTGTGATCATATCAGTGTTTCCTGATCTTGGGATCTCCATATGATGGATCTACCTCATTTAATGTTTATCTGAAATCTCAAACGTATGCCTGTAAAAGAAGTAGACTAATATTTTGCTTCAGTGTGTCCTCAGACATCTCTCTCTCTCCCCCCCTCCCTCCCTCCCTCCTTCTCTCTCTCTCTCTCTCTCTCTCTCTCTCTCTCACACACACACACACACACATGAACTATTATGGCTAGTGGGATTTGCTTTTGTCCCCAGGAACAATGCCCTTAATCATTCTTACCTTCCACTGCCACTGATGACATTGGAGCAATAGGGGGAATGAACAACTAAGCTACATCTCACAGGATCTCCCTTGAGATCCTTTTATAAATTGTGCATTAAACACTAAACCTTCAAGATATTAGCATGGGCTTAGAATTTACCCAAAAAACAATGCTCTCTCTCTTTCTTGTTATCCTAACTCCACCTCCTCTGCCTTATCATTTATCATTCATGGGGGAGGGGGGAGGGACAGGGAAGGAAAACATAGCTTATTCCTAATAATAATTTTGGCATAAGGAAAAATGTCCATACTTTTTTTATATACTTTTCAAAAACATGTCATTTGAAGGAATGCTTCATCTTGTAAGATGAAGCCTGCCATCTGCCTTTCAAAAGAAAAGAAAATCTAAGTTTAAATCATTGTGATGTGTTGCACATTAACCAGGTAGATCTTTTTAGTTGATTAAAATAAGATTCAAGAAGATCCTACTTGGATCTCTCTCTAGTTCATGGATCTATTCCAGAGTGACAGACTCCATGAAGCCTCCAAGCAAGACTCAAGTGCGAACCACCTTCTAACTAGCATTCCCCAACAGATGAATGAAAGAAAACATCTGGCACTCAGCAAAAGCAGCCACTTGTAATCTTATCCTCCAAACTTTCCTTTAAAGCCATACAGCTGATTCAGAATGCTGGGGTTGTACATGCCTGTATGTATATTTGGTGACTTGAAAATTAGAAGGGGAAAAGATGCTGGACCCTCTTAGGATGGTTTAGAAATCTGTGGATGCCACTCCACTAGTAACCTGAGCAGTTCAAATAAATAGAACCAAATCATGAACCATCGTTCAGTCCACGAGTTGCCATTTCAGGAAGGGTTGCTCGTGAGAATGGAAAAGGGGGCAGGGCAGGGCAGGGAGCGAAAACTGGGCAGTGGAATGCCAAGAAAAGTGAAGTCCCAAACAGATCCAAACCACCATCATTTGGGCAACTGACATGGCGATTGTAGATGTTTGGTTCGGTGACATTATGTTGTCAATTCTGAAAGGAAGCTACCTGGTTGGATAATCTCCTTTTACAAAATACCACTCAAGGCAATCGCTTTGAGCCATCCAAGGAGACGAACCTCTGGAGACATACCAAAATCAGTTGTGGAGACACAAACACGGTCAATAAAGCTTCCTGCTCTCACCACGTTCCCACACCGTCTGGCTTCTCCTTGGGGATGATTTCTTTCATTTAATTGAGGGAAACGGTCCCTTTATTTGCAGGTCTAACCGACTAACCGCCACCCTCTCGCTTCTCTTCTTAGCCTTTCCCAAATTCGGACCGGCCAAAGACAGAAGACACGGAATCCGAGCCATAGGAAAAGGCGCACCCAGGCGGCCTGCCGTCACCCCCTGGAGTCCTACCAACGCGTCCGGATGCGGCATTTCTCCCTCGGTGGTCGTTTCCGACAACCCAGACAACCTCCCGAGCTTGAAAACGGCGGGAGAAATGGAAGGGAAGGAAACCTCACTTCGGGTTTTCTTTAGCAAATGAAGTCGAGAGGAAAACTTTCCGCAGAAGAGAGAGAGGGAGAGAGAGAGGGGGAGGGAGAGGGAGAGGGAGAGAGAGGGGGGAGAAGGGGG